ACGGGAACATTTAGCAGCGATACAAACGCGCGACTGCATCGATGTAAACGCGCGACTGTATCGATACAAATGCGCGACTGAATCGATACAGTCGCTTATGTCGAATCATTATGTACGAAAAATATGTGTAGGTTTATTTACGTTGTTTTGTTTTGTTAATTGGAAATTTAAAAGTGAAATTAATAAATACATTACTTGACTAAATTAAAAAGTGCATCGCGTTTGCATGAACTCCAGCCCAATTGTCAGCATTTTGGGTACTAGTTAAAGATGAAATAAGTCGACTGTTGTAAGAAAAACTAAAAGGAATTGATCCGGTAATTGTACAATTGATCATCATACTAAGAGAGTATGATTAGATTTAACAGATCGTAATGTGTGTTGGACAATATTGTTTTAAATATCTAGGAAAAAAAATGCACAGTCACGTGTCATAATAACTTACATACGAAATATATAATTCAAATCGAGTTCTTAGGTTATCGCGATTGGATTGCATTAATATTAAATATAACTGGTTGATGTCTTTACCATCCCAATCCGCCATGAACATGGGACTAGAGGGTCTACTTTCGTTCTCCGAGATTCGTCCGGAACAATTATTGAAATAAGTAATACTCGACAATATTCAACAACAATGTCAAGTATGAAGCGACATTCGCATCTTGCGTCTTTGAATTTCGTCTAATACTACTTATTTCACAATAATTGTTTCGGACGGATACCGAGAGTACAAGACCTGTAGAGGAACCAAAACGTCGGTAATTTTGAAAAAATAATTTAATTGGATATGAGAACTCGTCATGAACAAAGTCATAATTTTCCTAAAAGCGAGTTAAAACAGTATAAAACATTTAAATATTATACAGTAATCTGAGAAAACGTACATGTTAAATGTGTATACCGTAATGTAAAGTAATCAAATAAAAAAAATTTAATAGTAGTAGAGCTCCTTGTGAAAAACTTCGTCCAGGTAAGTACTGCCATCTTCCTTATTTCTGCCTCCAAGCAGTAATGTGATGATGAAGGTGCCGGTGAAATACAGTTATATGGGACTTGTCAATTTATATCTCAAGGTGACGGGCGCCGTGGCAGTGTCCCTCAGATTTTTGCGATTTAAAGCTCGTATGAAGTTCTATGGACAGGCGTGTTGCTTACCGACTTGCTTGTTTGTCCATCAATTGTAATTATAAAGAAAAAAAGGTATTTTGTTTGCTTTTTATTATTTATTAATTGTTTGTAATTTAAGATTCTTTATACGTATTACTAATTGAACAAAAAGTGTGAAACTGTATGAATCACTTAGTTACCATTTGTTACGTACAATAGCCTCGGAACAGTTGTGTAAGAAATGATTATGGGCGCCATTGGAGTGTTACCGTCTAAGTGTACAACGTAAATCGTAGATTGAATAATCCGATCACCTATTAATGAATTACGCGTTTGTTGTAAACGACGTAGCAAAAGGAGGTTTTCAATTTGACAGTATTTTTATTAAGTTTTTGTTACATGACTGTTCCGACATATTTGTGAACCAATTTGAATGATACTTTTTTGTTTAAAGGGTGTATCTCAGTAGTGGTCACATTGAAATTTGAAGAAAATATTCCACCGCCAATGGTGGCGAATTGAGGATAAATCCGTAATTTAATCAATAAAACTTGGCAAATAAACGAACACTGCGAAAGCGAATAATCAAATTTCTGAGGTCGGTTTTTTTTATAAAAATGTTAATGAATTCATTTAAATTCAATACAAATTTAATTACAGATAATAGCGACATCTCTAACCAGGGCTGGTAGCTGTAAAGTCACCTAACTGGGCGACGAAATACTTTCATAGATTTCTCATAGATGGCGCTACGGCTAAAAAGTCGTAGAAAATCAAATACAAAGATCCGACAACAAGCACACAGAAATATTCGTTAGGTCCGCTGGTTGGAATGTCGGTTCGAACCCAGCCGGATCGAAGAAATTTTATTCTAGATATCGATCTTTTTGTATTAATAATTATAAAAAAACTAGTGCAGTAATTTCACAAAAAATAATTGAATATCAATTCAATACAAATTGAATTAATTTCAAGTTATACGAAAATACATTTGATACTATCGTACTAATGATAACAACACAATCAAGAAGCCAATCAAGAAGCAATATTACATCAAGATCATCATCATTTAAAAGCATCATCATTTAGAGCTCCTTGTGAAAGAGTTCGTCTAGGGAAATACTGCTTCTACCTCTATACTTATAACTGCCGCTAAGCAGTAAAGTGAGTAGCGAGTATTACTGCGTTCGGCTTTTAAGGGTGGTAGTGAAATTACTGGGAAGCGGAAGGTTGGAAGAAGGAAAATGTCATGGCTTCGTAATATCTGGGAGTAGATCAATCAAGACCATCAAGACCATTGTACAACTGTTCAGGCTAGCTCTGGACAAAGAAAGATATAGAAAACTGATTGCCGACCTTCAATAATGGTGAGGCACTTGATGAAGAAGAAGTGGAATTACAGACTCCTGCGACTGTCAACTTAATATCTCAGGGTGACTTTGCGATTTAAAGCTCTGAGTGGCACTGCAATTGTTACGAGTAGACGTGTCACTAACCCCACCATGTCAATTTATTTCAACTGTAATTGCAATATCTTTCATGTCACGAACAGTGATTGGATATGTAAACTTTATTGACCTAAACTTCGAAGAACAGAGACAGAAAGTGGAGACTGTCTTGCGACTACATTTTTTGTCCCGTTTTTTTTTTGCGGGATTCTGGACTTAAATAGATTAAAATTGACGTAGAAGGTAGATTATATTTATTTATACTTTGCGACGAGTTGCTGTAATCATAAATTTTTCGGATTATTTAGGAAAATTCTCACAAAAAATCTAATTTTGATAAATATACTTTACCTACCTATCTCGAACACCGTCAATTTTTAATGTACAGTCAAAAGCACATCAAGCTTGACACTTTGTACTTTGGACCGTTCTTATCGTAAGCAGCATAGAATTGGATTTAAGTGTTAAGTGTCAAGCTTGACGTGCTCTTGACCCTGTACCTAAGTGATTTCCCGAATACTCAAAAAAATCGGGACAAACAAATGTTGTCGTACCACTTTCTGTCTTTTTTTATCATGTTTAGGTAAATAAACCATTTATTTACCCCACAAAACATGAAACGCTACAACACTTACAACAATTACAATTTATAACATTAACAATTACAATAAGCGTTTGCAGGGGAGTAAGATCACCATAGACTGTGTAGAGCATACGCGCACATACAGCACTGAATTGCAGCTTGTCCCCGCTTGGACAAAAAGATATATAAAACACGCGCACAATAAATATAAAGTCACTTTAAAACTAATAAAATTCACAACAACTAAATAAAATAAACTCTTCACATATGCCGTTGATATCGAGGAAAATGAAACTATTGTTTTTCGGATCAAAATAGCGTTATGTTTTTTCAAACAAATCAACATTTCGAGTCCTTTACTGGTCTCACGGTCTATCATATTTGGAAAACTGGCCGTAGAATCAGTCGTGGCCGTGGGACTTGTAAAGGGCCCGAAATGTTGTTTGTTTGAAGAAAAATATATACGCGATTTAAATCCGAAACAATAGATTTATTTACATTTTTTTAGGATACCAAGTTTCGGGACGAACAAGTCGTGCGCCTGATGGTAATGTACACGCCTGTCTATACCAGTTACAGTGCCACTCAGAGTTTTCAACTACTAAGTTCTGAGGGGCTCTACTACTGCGCCCGTCACCCTGAGATAATAAGTTGACGAGTCTCATGTGCCTGTAATTTCACTAGCACCCTTACCCTTCAAAACCGGAATGCAGTAATGCTGACATTACTGCTTGGCGGCAGAAATGTGTAAGGTGGCAGTACTTCCCTAGACATACTCTTTCACAAGGAGCTCTACTGCTACAAAAATACTGGACTATAATGTATAAAACGTGTTGATATGTATACGATTTATTATTATTTCATAAAAAATGTAATGTATATTTAAATAGTGTATATTTTCCTCTGTAAAGTTTTCTTTTGATGTTTTAAAAGCAAAAGCAAAGAAGCAAAGTTTTGTTGTTCATTAAATTAAAATAAATTAAATGGGACTTTATTGATCAAACGCACACACACACCCATTTATACATAGAACATCACACGATATTATGTGTTAATAAATTATGAGCTGTGACTGACTGTGAAGGGACGAAGCCTTAACACAGTGCTGTTTTTCAGTCTCCGCCTGTGTTCTCTATCGGACATTGTCGGAACATAATTTTGATTATCGATGGCGTCTGCGTTGAATTGTTTTGCATGTACAACCTGCCTGCATGTTCAGTACTAAGATTTACATATTAACGAGTCCTAAGAAGATTATAACAATATAATATATACATATTATCGTAATATATATTATTATATACATTACAATTTCTCTTATATAATTTAGTACAAAAAAAATATTTTTTTACAATATATAAAAGTCACCCTTCTAAATTGAGAGAGTCGTTATGTAATTACTGTAATATAAAAGGAAAACAAAAGACGCGTTTTGTCCGCGTCAAACAGCCTGATAATCGTAGAGCGTTTATAAAAATTAAAAATAAATGACCACAAGTAGTGACTAAGACATAGACTAACCCTTAAAATTCTAATGACGACGAATGAAGACGACATGGCTCCAGAATCCACACAAATTTGATTCAAAGTGTATTCCATAGCATTTAAGTTTATTTGAAAAGAGCAATCCCTAGAGTTTCTTGCTCGTTCTTCTCAGGGAGGTCAGCGTAGTGAACGAGCAGTAGCTTAAATGTGACGTTTTCAAGTGTAAATTTATTTTACCTATGGAATAAATAATCTTTGACTTTGACTTTGACTTTGACTTAATCATTAGTGAATAAAAAAAGCCTTCAAATATCATTAATTAGGTACTGTGTGCACATTATATTAATTATAAAATGTTTTTAAAACGGCCTTACCTGCATCGCACAATACTGATGGCACAAAAAACAGTAACAAACCCGCATACACTGCTTGTCTTGTTATTCTACAGCCATTTCTGATAAGCCTCCATACTGTTCTATTACTAAAAAAGCTGTCACAATTTCTTAAAAACTCCGAACACTCCATCACAAAAACACTACGAAAATATACTGAAGATATTTACAAAATGTTCCATATTTTTTAAAGTGATTCTTCTAAAAAATTTATCATCTTCATTGAAAAAAAATCACAACGTATTACGAAAATTTTGAAAGTTTCGAATGGTGGCGGGCATAAAACCGCGGGAAAAGGCGCGCGGCGCATGTACGCGTGCCGCGTACAATGATGAGTTTTTTTTCTGCACCGGCAACAACCTCCCGCCATGCAGCCTCTTTGCTCGATCGTGATCATTTTCTGCTCTGCAAACTTTAATATAGCGGAAAACGGGCATTACGTTCGGAATATTGTTTGTTCCGCATTAAATTGTAAACAATACTTATTGGCTAACAAGTTTAGTTTACTTTTTGTTCTGTTTTGTGTGTGAATGTAAATCAAACTCATCATGTTTTATTAAGGATTTTGAAACCATTACTACATAGAATCATTGTAAATGAAAAAAAGATAGAAAGATGTTTATTCTCGTTTTTCTATTAAGTACATTTATTAACCGATTTCAAAAAAAGGAGGAGGTTCTCAATACGACTGTTTGTTTTTTTTATGTATGTTACGCGATAACTCCGGTATTTGTGAACCGATTTTTATGATTCTTTTTTAGTTGGAAAGAGGGTACCTCCATAGTGGTCCCATTTAATTTTGAAGAAAATCATCTACCTCTAAGGGTGGCTGTTCATGAATGAAGATTCATTTACATAAATAGCGCCTACATTTTATTACAAGGAGCCATTATTTAAATGGTTGATTTTGCTATTTTCCAATTCAAGCGGTTTTTCTCTCTCAATATACTTTGAGTAGTGAGAACCGATTTTTATTATCTCCTGTGTCAAGTCCCGTACAGTGGCGAACTAGGGGATGAATCCGGGTTTGCGCACTTTCCGGTAACCGATTTCAATAAAACTTGGTAATTATATGTCATTCCACGTACTCTTGAGATCAGGTTTTTAGTACTCTGTACTGAGATTATAGTTATTTTTTCAAAAACAAATACTTTTTAATCTTGTTTTTTAACGTCTTACACAATACCAAACTCTTGAGCTACACTAACAAAATTTTACTACAAAATTTACAAAATTTTACTGATGCACAGCTGATTTAGTACTTTCTCTCAAGGCGGTGTGAGTTTCTTAGTATACCAAAAGTCAAGTGTTGTGTGACCACCGGTGGTAAACTACGCCTGACGTACGAGCTGTCCGTGCA